ACCTGCCCCTAATGAAACCATGCTGGTTGCCCTTGAGCATCATCCCTGAAGCTGGCCCATCGCAGATGTGCTCCTTGATGATCTTCTCAAAGAGTTTCCCTAGGATTGAGGTAAGACTGACGGGCCTATAGTTGACCGGGTCCTCCCTCCTCCCTTTTTTAAAGATGGGGACCATGTTGGGTATCTTCCAATCATCTGGCACCTGGCCCAAGCACCATGAGTGCTCATAAAGCCGTACCAAGGGCCCTGCAATAACCCCTGCTAGCTCCCTCAACACCCTGGGGTGGAGAGCATCTGGACCCACAGATCTGAACACATCCAGCCCCTTCAGAAGCTCTTTAACCCAGTCCTCCCCAACCTGAGGTCTGGAGTCATTCCCCTCGAGTCCATCTTGCATCATGGTGGGGAAGTCCCAGTCCCTGCACAAGAAAACAGAGGTGACAGGAAGCTGGGCACTCTAGGCAAAAACAAAAAACTCACCACACCACCAAGGACATCCACAACTTTCAGTTTGCAGATGATTGCTGCAAGATGGCTCACCCTGCACAGTATGTGCAAGCAACCTTAGATCTCTTCAACACTTCATATAAGAGACTTGGCCTGTCCTTGAACGCTGCTAAGATGAAGGTTCTCCACCAACCCCCTAGGCCATCTGAACATCCCTTGCGCTATGTAGACAGGGAGGCACTGGAGTACGTGGAGCACTTTATGAGGCAGCCACCTCTCTCAATAGGTTACCATCGATGAAGTCCAGCACCGGGTCAACCGCGCCAGTGCTGCCTTCTTCAAGCTGCGACATGTCTTTGGAAATAGAGACCTTCGGAAGTCGCGCTAACCACCCTACTTAACTGCAGTGAAACCTGGACCAGCCACCGATACCACATTAAAACCCTCGAGAGCTTTCACCAGCAGTGATTATGTCAAATCCTGGGGATCAAATAGGAGGACCGCTGGACCAGCACAAGCGTCCTCCATGAAGCTGCATCCACCAGCGTTGAAGTCTTGCTCTGGAGAAATCAATTCCAATGTCCAAGAACTGCCTCCCTCATCAGATTCTCTTCTCCCAGCTCTGTTGGCCAATGCTCAAAGGGTGGCCAAAGGAAAAGGTACAAAGACACACTCAAAGTCACCCTCAAGCACAGAGGCATTGACACCATCAGCTGGGAGGAACAAGTTGCTGACTGTTCAGTGTAGCGTCACCTGGTCCACCAAGATGTGCGCCACTTCAAGGTCCACTGACTCAATACCAAGGCAGAATGGCAGCGGAAGGAGAGGGGGCTGTGAATCCCACTCCCCTGTGCAACAACATGCCCCCATTGCAGAAAAATGCGTGCATCTAGAATCAGGCTCCTCAGTCACCTGAGGACCCATCAAGACTGATGGATGTCATCCTCGACTTTGAGGGATGGCCGCCACTGAATGCGTATTAGCCTAAGTTAGTGCATATTATGGGCACATTTCTACATGTGCATGCTCTTAATGCACATTAATTTATCATGCCTAAATGTAATACCTCTATTTGCAGGTATCAAATTTGGGCACAATTAGCTTATGTGCATTAATGCACGTGTAGACACCACCTAGAACTAACTTTGGTGCCAGGTCTACCCTGCCACTAGGAGGCTGGCCTGAGCTCAGTCTCGGAGAACATCCAGGGATTGGATGCTGGGCCCTGCCCCCTAGCCCCACTTCCGCACCCTTCCCACTCTGGGCTTGAAGACCCAAAGTACTGTATATAGTTTTTTCCTTTTAAGTGGGTTTCTTTTACTGTTGGTAGGTGGTTGAGGGGGGAGGGATGGGTATTGAGGGTAATAAAGTTTTTTTTTTTCGGTTTCACCCATGTGTGTCCTGAGAGTGGTAGCAGGTGAGTGAGCAGCAGGGCAAGAGGGCTGGAGCAGGGAGTGCAGGAGAAGGTGCTCAGGCATGGCCTCCTGCAGCCAGTGCCCTGGCCCCTGCTGGTGGGTACACAGCTGTCCTGAGAACTGGGGGAAGGCAGGGGGGCACGTGCCTGCTGGGGCTAGCACCATGGCCAGCAGGAGTGTGGGGTGCTCATCATCACTGGCAAGGGCCAGGATGGAGCAACAAGGCATTGGGTGTCAGTGGCAGGGGCAGGCCAGGTAGGGGGAGACAGGGTGGGCAAGGAGGGAACTGCCATATGTTGCACTTGTACTGGGCGCACAGTTTCTAGGCAGGGAAGGGGCTGGCTAGGGATCTTAGTTTCCCAGATGGATGCCAGGTGCTAGCAGCTGGCTCTGGCTTCAGTGTAGTTGCCAGATGCTGGTAGTCATGTGCCCAGAGGCTGGAGCTCCCCCTGGTGGCCACATGCCAGGACTGCATTGACTTAGGACTAACTTTAGTCTCAAGTCCCTGAATGTGTAGACACCTGCCAAAATTGCTTAATGAACAATCGTTATGCTTAAATGCATGTGTAGATGTGCCCAAATTATCCAAAAAGGTTGTACAGTTTTTCATTTTGCAATGGATCCTTGAGCGAAATACAGAGGATCAAGATTTTGCAAGTTCCTACCTTCACTATTATTCATCTGGGCTGGAAACAAATTTCAGCTTGCAATGCAAGAGCTGCTACTTTGCAAAATATCACAAATACAATGACCCACAATTGTATCTAGAACTTTTTGTTACTTATGGTCTAAAGAATGGCTAGAAGAGGCACAGTAACTAGGGAATTGCTGCTAATGGTGTATACTATTTATACCAGACAAAATGCTATTCACCTATGCATCACAAATCTTGCCTCATCACACTCTGGACGTTATTAAACAAGTAGAAAGTTTATAGTGAGACATGACCTTGCATACAAAATAGGAAAAGTAAAAGCTGTGGCGCAACCTGGATCATTTGTATCTAGGTGGTTTGCCACCTATTTAATTTGCAGTGGGTTGCCAAATTAAGACAGAACACTCGACTAGATTGCTGCAGCGCTTACTTCAAAAAGCATACTATTTTTCTAGTCAGCTAGAGTTCACTGGCACCACACTGGTTCTCCATGCAGCTACAGGCTGAATTCAGCCTGCAGACCAAAGGATGCCGATTCCTAGCCTAGACTATTCATATACCTACACCCTGAGAAAACTTGAAATAATGCAATTTAAAAAAAATACTTACATTTCTCTTTACTGCCATTACTATTATGCAAGAAATCCCCATCAGAACGCACTGTAGGGAAATCATCTTCATCATCTTCTACCACTAAATAAGAGAAGAGAGATTATTTGAATGGCTGAAAAACAATGATAAGTTACCAGTAGTTCTCTTCCCAGTTTTGCCGAGTAGTAAATACAGTAGTATTTACATGTTTGAATAAGGTGACCTGATTACCTAAATATTTCTGAGGTTACTTATTTTGATTTAGCATAGGAATCAACATTCACCATGACCATGGTATTTTGTCTAGAACTAGCCCAAAAATCAGCATTTCAGGCTTGTTGCCCATGGCCATACACTGACCAGCAAGAGCACAAACCATGCTGCAAACAAGTGTAAGACACTTGATTATTTTTCTCTTTTTACTAGATAATCAAGGAGACCTATTTGTTTCAGGGCTCAGCACAGAACTTGGAAAAAACAGGCTTCACAGACCTCTGGATGACGTGACAAAAGACACACTAGGCAAAAACAGTAATTCAAAAGTAAGAAACAGTAGATGAACAAGTTGGGGAAATACAAAATTAGAGTTCACAAGTAAAATAAAGATAACTAGAAATGAGCTGTACTCGACACAGGTACACTTAAGACACTTAAATTCAGCAGGGAGTAAGCTAGAAAAGCCCACACTCAGCAGGGGGTGAGCTGTACATGCCCAAACTTAGTAAGGGGGAGCAGTAGGTGTCTGGACTTCAGAAAAAGACAAGGGGAACAACAGGCATCAAAAGCACAAGAAAAGAATTGGTATGGGGTAGGGACATCTAGGCTATAAATACAGGGGCTGATTTTTGCCTTTCGGGAGTGACTTAGGGGTCTCTCTCTGCACATAATGTATCACTTATAACTGTCTGCACAGTTTTGGTAGGCTGGGCTGACTGCTATACAGACATGCTAGGTTTGTCTCTTAGGACAGTAGCTGTCTGAGCTTTCGCCACCAAACATGTATCCAAGTCCATGTTGCACCCAAGCTCCAGGAAGCTGGTTACAGGTCACCACCTCAGAGCACCTCAACCCAAACAGTCTGAATCACAAAAGCAACAGCAGGCAGGAGGCTGGTTGGGAACCCTCCCAACCCCCAAGAACCTCAGCATAGCACCAGCCAGGACTGCAAGAAGCCAGCATAATACCAAGGCTAGTGGAGGTGGCTCAAAAGAGTTGACGCCCATTCCAAGGGAATACTTAAAACACCCAGTTTGCCAGAGCATTTAAAACAAAACAGAACCCTCCCCCCACCACTCAAAAAAACCCCCAAAACAAAAATACCCTTGCATCTGCTGAGCCTCAGTGGAATTTGTTGGAACCCTAAGTGCATACTTAAATGTTTTGCTGCGTTGTGGCCTAGGTCCATACATTTCAGAAGCCTTCACCTTTTTGCTACCTTCTCCCTTACCTTAAGCCATAATGCTGAAAGCTCTTTCACCAACATAAGCTCAACAGTGCTTCTGTCTGCCCCAAAAACCTTCCCTGTACAAATACATTTTATATGAAAAAAGATGGAAACTCGAACTATTGTTTGGAATTCCAGTTGTGCCAATTTTACAGATATCATTGCCTTTCAGAAGGGACCTTGCCATACCAGAAGGCTCATATTTTAGATAGTAATCTAAAATTACACTTTTTTGAAAGTGTAACATGAGAATATTTACAACTTAGTATTTTAGAATACTAAATTGAGAAAGAATGTATTGTTTCCTTAAAAGACTGATTTAGACGACAAAAACAAAGAAAATAGAAAACTACAGCCAATCCCATCACCAGGAGCTTAGATATTGAAATTTGTGTTTTAAGAAAGGTGATTCATTAATTTAATCATCCTATTGTCTGTCACAAGGTGGAAGCACATATCAGAAACTTAAACCCATAATATGGCAGTTAAGCCATTTAACACTATGGATGTAATACATTTAATGTGCATTACCATAACAATTCAATGTTATAGGCAGATGTTGAAAACTTATTTATATAGCTTTGAAGATGGGTAATCGGGTCATATGCCACCATTTTGAAAGGACTGATAAAAAAATATGCACCCCATATGGTTAACAAAGCTCATTATATACCTGAGTCCAGTTAACTCTACATTATGGTACAGAGGGCATTAAAATATTTAGCCAGTATAAAACCTGTATCAGCCTTTATGGATGCTATTGCACTGGAGCATGGTTTTAGGTTTCTGTAGTATATATAGAGCCGTAATTTTATTTACCTTTATCCCTCTGAAGTTCATCCTTGGATACAGCATCTGCACAGGCATCAAAGTATTTCTGCAAAGTATCAACCTGTCTACATAGGATGTCTCTGAAGGTTTCCATTTCAGCAAGTTTTTCACGCAAGCTATGACCTTTCTGGAAATACAGAAGAACCCCAGCTAATACAATATACTTAATGACTCAAATGATAGATTTACAAAATAATATTATTCAGTTTTAATTAGGAAACACTTGAAATAAACTAAGTAATATTCTATACATGTTTAAGTGATTATATTAGTTTATTACAATATTAAACCAACATAAGTTAGATGCAATGCATATATTAGCTCACCTTCTCCAATCCTATCTCTACACTTCCCTGTAATACATTAACTAATCTTCCCCCCCACTAAAGTTATTTGTCTATATATATAGGAAGCAAAAGAACCCTCTTCATTGTAGTATGTAAACAGGCTCCAGCTGCACATTATAGTTCCAATTCACAGAAACTGTGAAGGTGAAGAGTACATCAAGTTTACATTGTTTCAGTAGGTTAATTAACATTTTAATTTTATGAGAACACTTTCAATCTTGCCAGCCTGAAGTCTACTACTTTAAAAATTGCTTTAAATTCAACTGACCATGTTAGTATTTTTATAAGATCTTTCAAATGACACAATCTTATAAATTAAAGCAACAGAACAACTCAACCACCCAAAACTCAGGGAAAAAGATAGTAAATCCTGCCAACTTTTACAACACCTATTATGCTGTCAATTAACATACTCTGCAGGCATAAATTTTATCTCTATATTCAGAAAAAGTCCATATCCTTATGTTCAAACCTCTTAATGTTGACAGATCAAATATCTCAGTAACAAAGAAAAGTAAATTGGTTGAACCTTACAATTTCCAGTTTCTGGTGGTTTCATAGTTTTAGTTTTGTTTTGATTTGAAATAAAACAAGTCATTTCTCAAGAAGTGGAAACTCTGAAAAACTGCTTTAGAAACAAGGATACATGGTCTTTCTGAAACAAACATGCTTCTCAGGGAATTGCTTCATAAAACTGGCATGAGTCTCAATTTCACAACTGCTCACCATTGAGCAAAAGCAAAACACCAAAGCATCCAGACAAGAGCTAGTTTCCTCAGGCCAGTGTTTCCCAAACTTTTGATACCTAGTGCACATTTTTTTTCTGGATTAAAATTAGCAGCATACTTCACTCTTATAGCCAAAAAGGTGCATGTGGTAGATCTAAAATTCAGAAGAGATATGGAAGGGGCCCTTCAGGCTAAACAAGCAGAGAATCACTGATATAGCTGGTGCACTTAAGGGCAATGGCCTGGTCCTTCTACTGCAGGGGTGGGCAACATGCGGCCTGCAGGCTAGATACAGCCTGCCAGGCCATTCTATCTGGCCTGCAGGGCCCCTAAAAAATTTAGAAAAAATTAATATTAATCTGACCTGGGCTGCCTGTCATGCAGCCCTTGATGGCTTGCAAAAACTTAGTAAGTGGTCCTCTGCCCAAAATAATTGTCTGCTCCTGTTCTAGTGCTTTCCCCCTTCTGACTTGGGGGGGGGGGGAACAGTCCCAATGCTGAGGCTCCTGCTGCAGGGATGGGCTGGGTTGCAAAGCCTGGTTCTGTTGGTGCATCTGGCCATCTATCTGTTTGGGGGCGGGGACAACAGGGAAAGAGGGAGGACAGTGGCTCCCTGGGTGTTGGAAAACACAGGGGAAGGTACCAGCAGCAGTCCCTAGAGGAACAGCCACAGGTGCTGCTGGAGTAGCTGGGGGCAGGAGCAGGGTGCCAGACAGAGGAGCATCTCTCTCTTCAGTGGGATCTTGCTGCACATTTTGGTTGCCCTCACATAAGGCTGAGGCAGTGATTCCTGTATGTGCCTATCAACTCTGGAATTCCAGGCCTGGGGAAATCCTTACTGTGGGGCTCCCAGAGAGGCAGATTCTGGAAGCCTGTTCTAAAGCTTCCCATCTCTGTGGCTGAAATCCTAGACATTCCTGCTCAAGTCATGCTTAAAAGTGTTAGGTCAGTCAAGTGTACTCGTACATAGCCTTTACATGAAACTTTTAAGTTTTTTCTATCTAGGTTGATGTAGCAGGATGAGCAACTCAGGGAGGGCAGATCTACCTGGCTAAGGACATGGTAGAACAACACTGTTGAATCTCCTCTTGGTTGCACAAATTCCTTAAGGGCATGAGGGGCAATACAATTTAGTTTAGGAGATGATGATTTATTATTTAAAAAAAGTTTATTGAATAAAGTATACCACCAGCAATGTACTCTGATTAGCAGTGACAACCATTCAGACAGCTGGAAATAACCTTCATGAAAGGGGTCTGGCACATTCCTACTGGCTTTTAAATTTTAAAAGACGCCGCAATTTTATGTGCTTCTGGATATTCAATAAAGGCAAAAATAGCTATAGCAGTGAAATGTGCACCTACATTCCCTGTTCTCTTATGTTGCTTTATGCCCAATGTGAACTGCATTGCTCAACATTAAGCCTATCAGGTATAACACCAGGAAATTAAAGCATGACAAAAGACCAAATGGGAAACATTTTTACAAGTCAAATCACAGTATCTATTTTAACTGGGAAATTAACTGCTTTGGAAGTATTGTTGAT